TATCACCAGCATCATCAGCATCACGCCAACCTTCCAGTTGATCCATCCACTGCCTCTCCGGCACCACCAGCAACGTTTCCACCAGAACCCCTCCCCCCACCTGCAGCATCTCACCACCCAACGCCTCCACAGCTTGGTGTGGTACCCCCCAACATCCCCAACCTACCTGACACATGGACTCCCAGCGACACACATTTGGATACAAATACCGTACATGGTCACACATTGTTTCGGACAATTCAGCCGACGCAATGGTCCAGGAAATACAACCTCGCAGGACAACAAGTCCTCGACATTTTCCCATGGCAGCTCAGCCGTTTTGGCCTCCAGGACCACAGCCTACGCATCCTGTCCCAAGGACGCTACACAGGCATTGTCACCACCAGATCTATCGCGGAGGCGGTCTTCACTTCACAATTACTGCCAGAGATGAGGGCCCACAACCTGGACATCGACAACATCGCTGAATATTTGCACCAACAAGCAGATCAGTCCATTCCAAACAAAACCACAGAAGCCAAACAATTCATGCAACCACTTATTTCTCGCATCATTGACTTTCTACGAGGCCTTACACCACCAGCCGGCGAAGGCACAGCACTCCGAAAGCTCCAGCAACAGACAGATCGCTTACAACAACAAGAGAGCGAACTCCAGCGCGCTCGCGACAAGCTGAAGAATCATGGCATTGCACTCACACCAACCAAGCCAGGGTCACACTATACCCCATCATCCGCCACCCACACACCGCATCTCCCACTCCCAGCCCCTACCGCCATCTCAACCACGACCATTCTCAATCCCACCACACAAACACTCCATGACAACTCACCAGCCAACTATGCAGCAGCTGGCATTCAGAAATGGCTCAAGACATTACCACCAGCCACTCAGACACAAGTCACCAACATCCAGCAGATTCTACGAGATGAACATATCACCAAAGAACAACTCCAAGAAGCAGCTACCCGCTACGGCATCCCGCTGGCTCGGGTCCTCAAGCTTCCCCCACGTTCACTACAGCAACTGGTCGCCGCGGGTTCGGCATTGGCAGCCTGACTCGTACAACAAGCGCTGCATCAACCAACACATCACACCCTACAATCTTTAACAACATTGCACACAGCACTATCACACTTTGTCCATTTCACCCCCTACATTGACAAGTCACACGCTATTTTTTTCTGTCAGTCTCATTCACCTTACATGCCTCTTTGCCTTTCCTTCGCAAACACATCACTCTATACAATGGCGCTCCCGTTTCAACCAACTACAAGTTACACCACACACTTATCACTACCAAATGTTCACACATCCCAACGCGGTTTATGCCAAGCTCTTTTTCAACCAACATCACACAAGACACCAGTACCACCAACATGGACATACATACATCGGCTCTACTAGCATCACTATCCCCAAGCGAGAATACAATCGTCACGCAAAACTCAAACAATTACACAATAACCACCCCATTTCAGCTGAACTTTCTCTACGCTACTGGCACTCCAAGAACAACCTCCACCACTACAGCACTATTTACCTTTCCCATCACGACACCTATGATCAAGCATGGACCTACGAACACCTGCGGATCCAAGAATGGCAACCTACACTCAATTGGCCCTATATCCAAAGACACCTCAAACTCAAAGCCTCAGGTTGGCAATTTTCAAAACATCGCACCACTTTCACACGGATGTCCACTCACAAACGTCTCTTCCAACGGCTCCGACGACGACAACACACCATCAAGCAACCCCACCTTCACACAAGTCAACGCCTACACGCCCTTACAGTTTTACGCGAGCTCAGCAAGCATACACTTTCATCTTTTCAAACATCAACAGCCATCCGCAGCGGCAAATACACTGATCTTGAAATTTACGCTTTCCGTCGAATGGCCGCCAGCTTAGAGGAACCAGATCGATCACGTGTTCTTCACCTTCTCCACTCAGCGCTCAGTTTTCGCAATCTCACTCCACCCAAAGCCAACAAACCCCTTACCATCCCTTTCCTATCCCACAATACCTTCTCGTCTTCCACGGAAAAATGGCTTCGCACACTGATCCAACACCACATGCATCACGTCATTCCCTTCCACCCCCCCTACTACCAAACTACGCGAAGCAGCACACAAGACTTTGCGTTCCCGGCTCTACAACCACAAACGTTGGGAAGAACTCTTCTCCACACATCCCACAGCCGCTGACATGCCATGCAGCTGCCACCACATGCATACCTTGCTTCGTCCCAACCACACACCGCCGCTCTACGATGGTCACTACGTACTTACACTTGAAGACCTACAGCTCCCCAGCCATCTTGAGCTATTCCTACAAGCCAACATGAACAGCGCTTTCTTTCCCACGAAGACGCAATATTTCCAACACTTTGAACAACAACTCACTTACTGGCTACGACACCATGGCCTACCCACTGCCCTCCATCAACACAGCCTACCTTTTCTACACCAACAATGGAAACAGCACATCGACAATCTTCTATACACGCCCCGCTTTACCTCCCGCAACGTGACACAGCTTCAACAATTTCTTACAGACAAGCTGGTACTCCATCATGCTGACCATGAACTACAAAACCTACGACTCTTTTGCCCACAGCACTACTTCCACGGATGTCTCACCACATGGAATACACCACAACTTTTTCTCCCACTACCAGATCTCACAGCCCAACAACTCCACCAATTTCTCACACAATCCTTCCCAGCCAGCATTCGCAAAGCATACCCCTGGGGCTTCCGCACAAAATTCTACACGCCACATGGAGTAGTTTTTCTCAAACAAAAGAAATCCTGGCGAAAGGGTAGAACAGTCATCAGCTACTTCAGATCCATCGCAGGCACATTATTACGAGCCACCTCCAAAGCACTAGACATTATGCTCCTTCATCTTCTACCACAACATCCAGGCCAATTATCTATACCCAACCTTTGGCAACACCTCCACAACCATTTCCAGACCACACCCGAAGACATCCACCTCACACCGATCAACGACGACCTTGTCGGCTTCTTCAACAGCGTACCTCAACAACGCCTTGTCGACGCAGTCATCAGCCTATGCAACCGCTGGAAAGCACAACACAACACCACTACCATCACCATCGACGTCCAGTCTACCGGCAATCCCATCCAACACTCACACATCGGTCGTCACTACATCCACCACCCACAACAACGCACACTTGACACACAACACATTCCTCTTATTGTTCAACAAGCCCTTCACTCATGTATTTTCCAAGCTTGCAACACCTACTACAAACAAATTCAAGGAGCCGGCATTGGCAGTCAGCTCTCACCAGCACTTTGCAATGTAGCAATCACGCTCATCGAACACACTTGGCAAACCACATATCACACCTTCTTACACCAACCAAGCCTTCACTTGCTCAACACTCGCTACGTCGACAACCGATACATCTTGCTCAACGAACAATACAGGTCAGCACTCCCCATCACTACATTGGCCCATCCTGAATTTTATGAACAACCAGTTGAAATAGAGCCAGTGGACGACGACCATCTACTCGGTTTCTTGATTGACCCTCTCAACAGAACCGTCACCTTCCAACTCCCCACCCATTCCTGGCAGATTCGTGATCCACAGTCAGCAGGGAGTCACAGACTACGCCTTTCAGGCTTACAATCACGCCACCACACACTACAAAAATACACTTACCCCAAACATCTCGCCCACACGACCGCACAGAAGTTGATGCAGCTATATATGGCCAAAGGCCATTCACCAGCACACTGCGCCGCGGCGCTGCGGCCAAGGAGGAAAAAGACTATGTGCCGGCACTTTCGCAGACTGCAGTGATATGTATTTTACAGTATTGAACCTTTCAATGTCAAGCACTTCCACTATTTATTATCCAGGCCTTACCTGATCCGCTCTAGTTGCGCCGATACGGCTCAGTGTGTGTGTCCACTCCTGTTTCCAAGGACACTACCCTAGTTTTTCTAATCTACCCTACAAGCTTTTCTGTACAGAAGCAGGGGGCACCTGGAGCAGAGATAGGGCAGGTGCCAATGAAGACACCTATCTCTTGCTCGTGAAATCGACGGGAGACGTCCTGTCGACGTACCTGCAAACTTTTAAATTCTCCAATTGTTGTTCAACCATACTGTTGCTCGGACTTTGCACTTTCCTTTAGTCAAGGTCTAACTTGCAGTAATCTTAAAGGGCTAATGCACACCGCGAAGCTACCTGAAATCACGCTCCACGGAGCAACCTTCTCAAGTGTGTGTTTGTGTTCCACCAGTTCCATCACGCGGCGAGAGGCCCCGCAGAAGGTTAAGGTTTCGCGTCCGATCGTGTGGCAAAGTACAGCTGCCCAATGGACCCCAGCGAGAAGTACATTCATATATATATAGTATTGTATAGTTAGGTTTAGATTGTTAAAAGAATTCTACTTACTAGCTGCGAACTTTTTGTTTCTAGCTTGTCACAGCTTTGAAGGGATGGCACCAAAGATTATGAGGGATACAAACTCTGTGCGACCAGCAGTTGGTTCATGTCACACATTGGAATCTGTATGATCAGTATGTCTGTAGTTAGGTTCACGATGTCTATCTTTACGAGCTGAAATTGTCGTGAACTTATTTTGTGCAGTAGCTGCCGCTGGCACCCAACAAGCGAAAACAGCTCCAGCCCAGAGCTGGCGGTGGGATTTCCAACTCACATGTTCTTGCGCATGGGCCACCAGGCAGGGCTTTTGGAAAGTTCCTTTTACATCAAGCTTACTGACTTCCAAGGTTTCCAACGCGTTTGGATGCGTTTGGTTTATGAGGAGGCGCGTTTCTATCTGAACATTCCAATTGAACTGCCTAAATGGCCATGCCCACACTTGTTTGATGGAGGTCGGTTCCCCGTCTTGTCCGAGGGTCATTGGTTTCTGATGGAATCCTATGGTTTTTTTCGGAAAGCTGTTGGGCTTCTTTGATAGTCTTTGGGCCGTTGTTGCCTGAGGCCATGTAGCGTCTGTGACACAGTCAGCACGAGCCTCAGCGCGGCCTTTGCATGTGATCTGGACAAGGGATTGGGCACATGTCAGGCACGCCATTCTTGGTAACGAGGTGACCTACGGTAGGTAGCCAGCTATAAGCAGCTGCCGTTTGGGGGATTGTTACTTGCTAGACATGGAGGCTGGAAGGGGTGCATTACATGGTCCTAGCCAGCACGGAGGTGATTTGTTGAATGATGTTTCGTGAAGCATTTTCAGCAAGCATTATGAGTCCTCTCCAATCTTGCCAGATGTAGTGCGGAAGGACCCTTGCTCCCTGCACCGCGTTTCACAAAAAATATGTCACTACACTGCGCGTTTTAAGCACAATGCGGATGTAAGGCAAACTTAAATCCTAAGGGCGTTTTACAACATCATTCTGCTTGCAACTTCATCCATCTCAAGTCTTCGAATGGACGTCTCCTAGACGTCTCAAGAAGACACACCACAAGTCTCCAGGAGTTGGGCGTGCTGCTTCATGGGGAAGCGGCCCACCAGGCCTTTGAACTATTGGGTTGGGGCTCCAAGAAACAGGGCAGACCAGCGGCCGGCATAGAGAAGCACGAGGAATCCGTGAAAAAAAACAACTGCATTTTTGCATTCCCCTGGAATCATTTTGGGGGTGGAAAAACCACCCATTTGTAGAGGAAACAGATTAAACGAAAGGGGCAGTCTTGTCTTTCCGTCTTTCCACTTCCATGATTATCCCGGGGAGTGTATAGAAGGTATATATGAGAGTATACAAGGGTTATCTACTTGACAAGAGTTCACACATAAGACATGGCATGATCGTACAAGACATGGAGTCCGGGTGGCTTGTCAGAGAGATGGCAAAATAGATCTAAATAGTATCCCATGACGAGAGCTGCACCAGCTCCAGCACGATGAAGCAGTTCGGCCAAAAGCAAGAGCCGCCGCCGTCACCAACAACAACAACCACAAGGACAAGAAACGACAAGTAGAGCAACTATAGCATATGGCCCTTTTGGCTTCCACTCTCAAACGTGCCTCCACCACCAGACCTCCCGACGATCCATGGACACCAAGGTGTTGACGCTGAGATGCTGCGGGAGACGGTGCGTGGCCGCTTCAAGGAGAAACACCTAGGGCATCATAGGGCAGAGAATCATAGAAGATCATAGAAGCAAAGAGGTTCTGCTATGTTCTGCTCAGAGGCCCCAAATTTGGGCCCTGTGTTAGTTGGGGAAGGTTCAGGTTCACGTTTTCACTTGTTTTCACCATTGTCCCAAGCCCCCCCAAACAGATAAAGAGGTTTGCTGGAGTTCATGTTCGAGGTCTTCATCTTTGCTGGTTGCTCCGGGCCTTTGTCTCCACACAGAGCAGGAGACGCCGACCGGTGAGCTTTCGATGACTCAGGTGGTCGAGATGGTCATACAGTCACTGAGACAAGACATGTGTAGGGCCCTGGGCAGGGCCCTGGGCAAGACAAGGTATAGGGGATTAGGTGAGGAGGACAGGACAGGTAGGGATGTTCAAGACACTCTCATTCTTCCATATTCTTCCAAACAGCGTTGACACTAATGGTGCATGGCCTACTTGGATCTCCGAGATTCTCCGAGGCTCCGTGGGACCAATGCAGCGACCGTGAAGGCGAGGTTGGATGAGCCCGGCCGACGGTTTGTCCAAGAGCTGGAGGGAACAGCCGGGAAAGAAGGGAAGAGCGAAGAACCCCGCCCTTTACGTGCATTTGGTTGATCTTTTTGGTCCCTCCTGAAAGCGCAGTTAAAATATGTGAGAACCAGTTGAGGTTGGAAAGCTGATCATGTGGGATCCTGATTGGTGAATTACAGGGCCCCCTTCCTCAAATCTGGATTCCTGGGACGATTCCCTTTGCAATTGGTTGTTGTTTTGATGTTTTTTTTTTCATTAATTCACTAATTGTATTCATGTTCCTTTCTCAGGTTCTTTGTAGTTATTCTCAGCCTCAGATCTTCAGCTCAAGTAAAGCCTGCTGTTTAGGTGCAATCTTCACATCAAGGATTGATAAAGGAATTCATGGCTTTGGAGAGCTATCAGTTTGAAGAAGAACTAGAGAAACCTATATCACTGATATGCTGTAATTGCCGTTGCTTTAGTAGAATTAAGGTCTCAGGAAAGGATTTTCCAACGGGAAATGCTTTTCACAATATTTATCCTGGGAAGGGAGGTACGGGGTGAAAGTGGACAGGGTTCCGAAGGAATGAACACCCTAACTGTTTTCAGACAACAAGACATTAGGATCCAAGAAAATTAGCAACATAACTGGGTGACCCGTTGAACAAACCCGTCGGTATGAACCAGTTTGGAACATATAGATGACCCTATTGCTAAACAATCATCATCCCACATTACTCACACTTCTTTCTCCCATGTTTTTGTCACAGAGGAAGAGAATTTAGGTGAGGAGCGTCATCGAGTCAGGTGGTCAGGACCGGGTTGATCGAATTAAGATTAATGAAGGTTATTTGATATTCTTGGTATGATATCAGATATACCATTTGGTGATGATTTATAAACAATATGTTTGTGGCATGCGGTGGCCCTTTTATCAATTCCCTTGACGATTCTCGCCCGGTCGACACCTCCCTACGCCGGTCGCCGGTCGCAGGACATGGTGGAGCTCCGCAAGTGGGTGGATCGATCGCAGCAGGTGCTCGGGCTTGATCGAGTAGGGGTGTGATGGGGTGTGCATGGGACCGGTGCCCTTGACCAAGATGGCATGTTTTTTTTAATGAACTTGTTACTACTAGCTTTTTGTTACTACTAGTAAGGCACCTGTTACTACTAGCGTGGCACTTGTTACTACTAGCTTCTTGTTGCTAGATTGTGTTTATTTATGTGACAATTTTTGGCATGATACCTCAGAAAGACGGACACGCCCTTCTCATACAGGTGAAGGAAGCTGCAGGTGGGTTTACTATGTGTTTGTTTCCCTGGGTTTGTGAACTGCTACGGCCCCTTATATTTCACATTGCTCACTGTTTTGGGGTCAATGACCTGGTGACTATAACTTCAGTCGATTACCATCAAGCACAGCTGCGTGGGAATTGGTTTGGGTGGAGTGGTTTTCCCAAGTATATATCAGTGATCAGCATTTACACAGTCAAAAACTGAACAGGTTTCAAGGACATTCACCTGAGCCACAGGAGGGATCAAATTCATGGGATTACTTATTTTTTTTTTGGGGGGGGTGGTGGATGGTCACTCACCTCCAAACATGCTCAATCAGTCCATTCCCATGTTTTGTCCGGGTCGAATCTTTGAGACCATTGAACCACCTCCCGTGCTTTGAGCAGCGCGTTTCAAGGTCATGACCTCGAAGCTGGACGCGCTCCTGTCCCGAAGCTGCACCAACAGCGGGTGATTGGACCCGGTCGTTGAGGGCTTGTCCATTCTGGACGTTCCCGCGACAGGATATAGGTTGGGTATGGTTGGGTCTATCCTATTACATTTTGCATCATTTTGCTATACCAGTAACAGTGGATGATGGTTAGTCAAAGCCTTGTTCAAAAATGGTGATTTGCTTGTTGACTGGAGGATCGAATCGATACGTCGCTTCTTTTTTCCCGTTGGCGTCTCGTCTCCCTTCCGCCACGTCCATGTTTGCACTGTGCACCGTCTACTGCACCATTGTGGGCGATCAACTCTCTGAGGTGCATCACTGCCTTTCAGCATCCTGCCCCTGGCCCCCAAAAAGGCATAAACAAACCCTCCAACGATTCCGCATAGATCCAGTCAGAGGTGACATCGTTTGGGCTCCAAATGTTCAGAATGGTGTTGATGACGTTGACCATCGTTGACCACTGTTGATTTGCATGTCAACCCAAGGCACAATTGTAAATCATCAAAGCACGGCAAGGAACGCAAGTGTTGGACACTTCATCAAACTCTGAGAGTTGATCACACACACAAGAGAGAGAGAGAGAGAGAGACATCCTGGGGTATCTGAAGCTTCCTTCAAGTGCAGAGACGGAGTAATGCTTGATGGCTTTGGTGCTTTTCACTGCGATGGAATGGGTTCCTTTTCCTTCGACCTACATGGCGCTGCTCAGGAATTCCCAGGTGATTGCGAAGAGGCCCATCGTCCAGAGCTCAGCACGAAGCTGCTAGAGGAGCGAATGTTGGCCATTCAATGAAGGGGGATTGTTTCTACTAGTAACAAGTGCCACGCTAGTAGTAACAGGTGCCTTACTAGTAGTAACAAAAAGCTATTAGAATTAGAATAGAATTGAATTAAATTCATATCATAGCATCCTTCAAGGACGAGAACCTCTGAAGAGGCTCGCACATCCCATGAGAGCTCCCCAAGACCAATCTCTTAGTGGGTTGGAGGTGGGAAGAGGTGGGCACAAAGACAAACCTAGCCAAGCCTTTTAAGAGGATCAGGGATTTCAGGAGGCAGATGGACAAAACATGACAAAAATATATGGTAGCATAATAGGACGGGTTTTGAGGTGAGGGGCCAAACTACATGCAACACGGCATAGAAGCCGTTTCGACTGCTGTTAGTATTGCAGAGCAAAGCTGGATCAGGGTGTGAATTATTCCAACCGTGAGTCAGTTGTACTTGCACAAATTGAGGTGTCTAGTGCATGGGTTAGTGCATCAATCAGTATACTTTGCCGAGATGTTAGAGAACGGTGGAAGATCAAAGTTGACACTTAGACAACACCAGGGCACCAGGCCGTAATCCCTGTTCTCCTTTCGGCACAGCACGACGATGCCTTTCTTTTGGATGGATACCGCCACCCTCTTCCCCAAGGCCACAGGGAGGATTCCAGAACTCCAAATTCGACAGCCTGTTTATTTTTTGAGGTCCGGCGGAAGTTAAAGGGCCCGGATGCTCAGAATTGGAACTTGACATGGGCACCTCCGTCTTGAGTCTTTTTGCATCTTTGTTTGGTCGACATGGGATGTGCTGCATCTCAAAGGAGCGCGAGGAAAACCGGGACTAAGTTATACCCATTTAAGATCAGGCTCTGGAAGTCTTGATATCGGAAGTCTTTGCTTCAAGCGCCCGTCCCCCACCAATGAACTTGCAATGGAAAGACCCTTCTATCCTTATGCATTTTATGGTCGGCCACCATCTTATCCTTCTGTCTGTCGTCTGCCTTATTTTCGTTGCCGGAAGTTCCTTTTGGGCGTTTCTTGGCCTGCATGACCGCCCCCCCACCGACACATACACATGCGCCAAGCGTGGACAGTTTTTGACCTGTACCCAGGCCCTCGGAAGGATGCGGATGCCGACAGGCCAGAAGCTCCCAGATACCGAGGATGAAAGGTGAGACACCCATGGTTTCCCGCAATATGAAATCGATTTTAAAGATGCAGTTGGAAGGCGAGCAATTAGTGTTTGATATATATATATATATATGTAGCTCTATATATATAAATTTACCCTTGGTTTCTGAGTCTTGTGAAAGTACCGTCGGAAACGGTAATCGGAAACAGCATGAAACAGCCAATGGGCGCAGGGTTCTGATTTGACTAGAACGGAAGTAGGGCACCACCTTGTTGGAAAGTTTCGATTTGTGTTGGGTCACAACAGCTTTGCATGAGGTCATAGTTGAGAAAGGGCAGGTAGCTTCGTATACTCCTCCAACTTGCGGAACAGGAGTTCTTCCTTCCAACTAATCTTCATGAACTGCTGTGGGAACCGCCGCAAGGAAGACTCTTTTTTCTGATGGGGACGCCGATTCACCAAGTGAGGCGTCGCTCCACTCGCGAAGAAATTCGCTCGCAGAGAAGTGCACAAGAGCTTGAGGGTAGTGAGTGATATGTCTGGTCAATGTGGATCAGCTGACACCATACTTATGTACTATATGGAGGTTTTGAGGTGATGCTGAACAGTCGTACTTGCAATGACTCATCGAAGCAATTTGCCGCAGCTGTGGCAGCCATACAGGCCTACGATACCCGTGCATGGAAGTAGTGGAAGAAGGACCCCTGAAAGAGTATTACACAACAGGGGGCTTTCCATGTTCATGATAGTTGGAGTCGGAGTGTAGGTGAATAACAAACACTATACACTATATATATAGGTGGTTTTGACCAAATATACTGTTTCGGTCGGCCCCCTAGTCCTGGTAGCCTGCGAAAAGGGCCTACATCATCCCCAATAGGTTCCTTCGTATGGATTTGGTACCATGGTCATCCTGTCCATTGGTCTAATAGTCACTTGTACCATGACTATCGGTCTCGCCGAACTAAGCTCCGTGCGCTGCCTTGCGACGTGCGTCTTCGGCGCGGCCGGCCGCGGCACGCGACCATGCGACGAAAAGCGGGCGACCGGTCGGTAGCCATCCGACGATGTCAGATATCCCTACTGCTGCCCGAATGATTGTTGCCTAGAAGTTCTTCTCGGGAAGCTGAAAGCATGGACCAGTGTCAGTACCAGTTATAATAGAAGATACGCCAAAAAGGTGATATCATTCCGTTGAGCGTATGGATCCCTTTGGATCTTGGGTGTGGTCCATCTCGTGGTCGTCTCTCGGGAGTCCAAACAATGAGGCGAGCCTTGAGCCATGAGCTGAGCCAAACATCAAACATCGGATTCACTCTGAAACCGCCGAAGTTGTTTTCGGTTCTGGAAGTTGCACATCAGAAGACACCACCGGAAGCCCGCCCGCAACAACAGTGGCACGCACCGACGTCCTACGGTGGCCCACAAATTGGCCTAGAATGGTGGCCCCTGGGTTGAGGAGACGAAAAGCAGAGTGCCCATCTTGCATGTTGGCTTTTGGTGGAACGAAGCTCCCGCGAAAGACAGACACAACAGTTTCAACCTTTCACACATCCACCACCATCCAGCGCCATGGCCAGTGGCTCTGCCAAACTGGCACCAGGTGTGTCCCAGAGATGTGCCAACATTCGACTTGGGCCATGCCAAAATGGTTGACAAACATATGCCAAAACATGCCAAAGCCATACGCATGTTGTCAGAACACACACACAGATATATATATATATATGTATACAACCCACTTATATGATGTTTTCATCCATTTTCATCACCGAACTTGGTGTTGGCCGCATTGGACCCCGTGGCCTCAGGTGTCAGGCACACGGCTGCCAGTTTTGCAGAGGAGGTCCAGGGATGCGTCGGATCCGTTGGATCTGGATCGGCCTTCTTCCATGCACTGGAGACGATGCGCCACGAGTATGAGCGTCTCGTGGCCGAGAACGAGCTGCTTCACAACGGAGCACTCCATGGAGCGCTCGATCGGTTGCTTGGAAGCATTCATGTAAAAAGCTAAACAATGCTATAAATCATAGTCATAGATGAATGATTAGACAGCAGTGGCTATTCTGGTCGGACGATTTCATTCACAATCCTTTCACCGGCAAGAGAAGCCTGGCAGCAGAAAAAGCACTTTCATGGTGTTTGGGTTTGTCTGGGTGGAAAGATTGCACCACCTGGCAAATAAAGATCATCACAGGCAAATTTGTGAGCAAAGTGATGCGGCAAGCGCATGCGCACGCAAAACACGGTGCTACTAGTATATCCTTCCATCTGTTTTGAGGTCTTCAGTCTGCTATCCTAGGCATGTTCGTAAGCGACTTGGCAGGTTCCACCTATCTGAACCGCTTCTATTAATGTGCTATTGCCGGGGCATTTGCGACTGTGTCCAGCTGGATCAGCCGTTCATCTCGAAGCGAAGCGTCGCCTCCCGCGGCTCGTGTGCCAACGACCGACCAAGGTCCACCTCTCAGACCTTCGTTTCAGGGGGAGCTGGAGTGGTGCGGCTTCACTCGGAGGGCTTGATGAGCATGGAGACTCTGGAGCAAGACGTCCCTCAAGAGGCCACATGTGTGTGTGTGTGTGTCCAGCCCTGCCTCAAAGGGTTCTTTCACTCACCTAGTTCTGCAGGTGTGTGTGTGTGTGTGTCACACCCTGTTTCTAAGGGTTTTGCAACGTTTGTCCAACTTTTCAAGCCAGCAGGGGGCCAGCGCATGGCATCACGACGCTGGCCAACGAAGCTAGTAATGTCATGGGAAGCAGTCAGAGACGTCTGACTGTGTACCTGCCGAACTGTTCACAAGCCGTGACTCCACTTTTCGTGTTTTTGTTTCATGGTCCTTCATGATACCTTCCCTCAAACACTCCACCAATTTCAGCCACTGAACCGCCGTGAGATGCCGTCGTGAATTCTGCAGAGGGGCATAAACCACTTGTTCAAACATCTTCAAGTGATCCGACCCTTTCACCTTTCGGTTCCATCGCCATTTTTCCTGGAAATTGAGTTAACTGAAAACCAATGTCAGAGTGTGAGCCGCTGAGTCTTCCCACTTGGGTGCTGGGTGTGAATCCCTTCATTGGGGCGCTGAAGCCATTCGGGCAATCATCGTTTCCTTTTTTAATAACTGTTTCCACTTTCTCCACCTCTATAACTGAATTAACGGATTTTCGAGCCGCCGGGCTATAAACGATGGACTCAACCTTTCTGCACTGTCATGTGTCATGTGTTGTTACTGCACGTTCCCAATTTTTAATCCGCAGCCATTTGTTCAGCTTTCACACGTATTTCGAGACTTTGCATTGCATCTCATGTCATACGTTCACCTCACCTTTCCATCACAGAAGATCCACTTGAACAGCTGCGGCAGAAGCATTGGTCCAACTCTACGCCCAAAAAGGGCATGACCTGCAAGCGTGCAGGCGGTTTTTGAAAAAAGTCCGTTTTTCCACTGCTCTGTACCCGCGCCGAGTTCGGCTTGTTGTGTGTGTCCCACCCTGTTTCTAAGGGTTTTGCAACGTTTGTCCAACTTTTCAAGCCAGCAGCGGGCCAGCGCATGGCATCACGACGCTGGCCAACGAAGCTAGTAATGTCATGGGAAGCAGTCAGAGACGTCTGACTGTGTACCTGCCGAACTGTTCACAAGCCGTGACTCCACTTTTCGTGTTTTTGTTTCATGGCATGATACCTTCCCTCAAACACTCCACCAATTTCAGCCACTGAACCGCCGTGAGATGCCGTCGTGAATTCTGCAGAGGCGCATAAACCACTTGTTCAAACATCTTCAAGTGATCCGACCCTTTCACCTTTCGGTTCCATCGCCATTTTTCCTGGAAATTGAGTTAACTGAAAACCAATGTCAGAGTGTGAGCCGCTGAGTCTTCCCACTTGGGTGCTTGGGTGCTGAGTCTTCCGACCCCCCCCCCACTGCGTTCTACTCCCTACCTAATTAGGGTAACATAGGGAAATGGTACTCGACACACTTGTGTGTCGGTGCCTTTCCCTCTGTTGTCCCTTTTCTAGTCTACTCTACCCGGGCGGTGTAAGACAAAAGTCCCGCTCCCTAACTAGTGCACCTAATTCACTTCGTCTAAGTATTCGGTAATTCTAGACTGCTAGGTATTCAAACACACACACACACGTACACACACACACATGGACATACACCCCCTTCCTGCCCCCCTTTTTCCTTCTTACGCTTTTCGTCGTTTGTTGGGCTTTCTCTCAGGCTTTTGAGGCTCGTTAGTATTCACTTTTCATTTTTCTACACCTATCTCTCTCTCTTGCCCTCTTAGCGCTGCTCTTTCTGTCTTTCTTTCTTTCGTTTCTAAGGCTTTTTAGGTACCTATTCAGGTTTCTCACACGAGCGCCGCCAAGCGGCACCGTGTGTGTGTGTGT